TTCCTGTCTCTGTGTCTTCCCTTCTTTCCTTCTTCACTCTGCTAGCTCCCCCTCTTTTCCTGGAGAGCCTTCCGTGAGCCCCAGGTGGTTTATGATTACTTCTTCCTATGTCCCATTGAATTCTGTGCATCCACTATCACAGGTACCATATTCAAATGTGTTTGTTGTTGTTTTTAATTTCTGTGTGTGTCTCTTCCACTGGACTAAAAGCTCCTTGAGGAAACCAGTGCAACAAACTTTCTACAGTAGCTAGCTCCTGCTTCGCACTCACCCGGAGATCAGATTTAGTGACACCTCTTGAAAGACCATCTCTGATCACCCAACACACCTCCACTTGCCTCACCCATCTTTTTTTCTTTACTTATCATTTCATAGTATTTTCTCGTTTTTTCAGGTATTTGTTTACAGTTTTTCTCCCCACTAGCATATGAACTCTTTGAGACCTGAGACCTTCTCTGCTTTGTTTATCCTGGTATTGCCACTGCCTAGAAAAGTCCCTAATACATAGGATGCCTTTAATAAATACGCAGTTTTCAAAACCAAATTAAATGGAGGATTGATGGATGGATGGGCACATAGTAAGAGGTCAATAAATTAGCTGGAAGTGAATTAGCCTATCCCTATTAGATAACCAAATTAAATGAATGGAGGATTGATGGATGGTTGGGCACATAGTAAGAGGTCAATAAATTAGCTGGAAGTGAATTAGCCTATCCCTATTAGATAAGCAGTTCATAGGCCAATAATGGTAATAGGTGAATTTTTTAACACCTATGGGGCATAAACCACCATGAAAACCTCAATATTTACTTCCGTGGCTCTCTGCCATAAACTGTCATCCATTGTTTTAATGTATCCCAATTTAGGAAAGCTCTGTCTTATCCTGAATGTCACTAGTGATACAATACATGTTATCTCGATGTTAATTGTCCTATCCTGTCTCCTGGTATAAGTACACACACACCCCATATAAAATAACAGCGGAAGAAAAAGATCCAGAATTAACCTTTGAAGAATTACTTAACTCTTCACTTGCTCTTCAGTTGCTATTTTATGGGCAAAGAATCGGCTTCAGTTTCAGGCTCATCTGGAATTGAAGTTCATCTGGAAGCTTAACTTCCCTTCACAAAGGTTTTCTCATTTATGAAATAAGTGTGTTAACCTTTTTTCTTTGAAGTACCATTTTGCTGATGTGAGAAAATACATGTGAATGCTCTTTTTGAACTTCAGAATGCGCATCTAGTATTATGTTGTTCATCAATTATTATTTCATATTTGTTCTCTATTTGTTGATAGTGATGATGATATGTATCTCCATATTAACTTTATTTTGAGCATCTTATTGTTCACTGCTTAAGGTCACTTAATCTTAGGTGTATAATCATTTGCATTCTGAATTGCAACTCCTTCATTAGTTTTTGTAACTGCTGAATTTAATAGGACATTGGGGAAGTGGATAGCACAGGCAAAAGGAAATTGGATTTTGAACTTTTTTATTATGACGACATCCATTTGATTGTGATCCAAATGATTAGCTAGTGAAGAAGAGCTACTGTTGTGACAACTTTCGGTGTGAAATAAAGTATATGCCATGGATTTGCTTACGAGTTTACTTTGTGGAAAAACATAGCCCCCAATACCAACATGCATCACCTATTGACTAAACTCAGTGTATGTACAAACCACCACAGGCACCTAAGGGTGCAACACTGTGTGGGACCCAGTGCCTGCCCCAGAGAAGCTAAAAGTCCAGGATCACCTCAGTAGTATGCTCTAAAGAGAAACATGCAAGTGACATTCTTTTTAAACAATTTTTAGTTATAGAAGAAAAGCACTTCTCACAGCTGGTGAATCACAGTGTCACCATAACCCCAATTTTTAAAACAAGAAAAACTGAGGACCACTAGACAGTAAGGAAGTAAGCTGGCACTTGAAGGATGCATGCTTCATTCAAGAACCCCACACATACTCATGTTTCCTCTGGTGTGCTTTATTGATTTGCAACATACAGTATGCAAGCGAACATTATAAAAACTTATTTTTTAAAAGTGTGGAGTTGAGGAGCGCGTGGGTGGCTCAGGCAGTTGAGCTTCCGACTTCGGCTCAGGTCATGATCTCATGGTCTGTGAGTTCGAGCCCTGCATCGGGCTCTGTGCTGACAGCTCAGAGCCTGGAGCCTGCTTCAGATTCTGTGTCTCCCTCTCTCTGACCCTCCCCCATTCATGCTTTGTCTCTCTCTGTCTTAAAAAAAAATAAACATTTAAAAAATTTTTAACAAAAAATAAATAAAAAAATAAATAAAAGTGTGGAATTGAAGACTGAGAAAAGAAATACCAATAAATTTGGCATCACAGCAGTGGGAAAGCTCATGTAAAAATGTTTTATAAGCTGTAAAGCCCTATAAAGATATAACACATCACTTTATATTTTTTGATTGTGTTTTGTTTGAATGTATGTGTAGTGAGGACATAACTAAGATCGGGATCCTTATGCCAGAGTAAAAAATGATATACATATAGGTATATAGACACACATAGGTATACATATATATATATATTTTTTTAATTGTTCATGGATATTGGACTTATCTGATAATATAACAGTGTTTGCTGACATGTTAATTAATAAGTGGAAGTTGGGAGGTTAAGAGTATCAGTGAAGTAGACTTACTGAATAGTGTGGTTTGAGGTCTAATCTCTCCCTTTTAAAATGGTTACAGATTTGGCAAGAATGTCCAATTCAACATAAGGGTTTTAGAAGTACCCAACTAAATGGTGTAGAGTTTTTTCTAAGGCCATCATGGAGTTTAATGATATATTAAATTAAATTAAATTAAAGCTGGCTCTTTCACTCTGCTGTTCTACCGACTGGCCTATAGTCTCCTATTTACTGACTTGTAAATGGTCTCCTTGCCTGTGGCATTTTCCCATCCAAATGTTGCACAAATTCAAGACAAGGATGCTTGAGATTCCTTTCATGGCAATATCCTTAAAAAGCCAGCCTCCTGCAATTGTCTAAAATCAAAGTATCATCATGAAAGTCTCCTAGTGCTTTTATGAAGTCTGGAAAGATTTTGAAGTTTAAAGTGGAAAGCAAAACAAGAATCCAAAGGTTCAACATCTGAGGTTTTGAGGTTAGTTTCTCTGGAATGTGAAAATCAGATTATTACCTCTCCCAATATTGCAATTCTAAAAATGAATGGCTTCTTAATTGAATGACTTCAAAGTGATACAGTACGTCTACCTAAAAGTATATAATTTATCAGTTGTCAATAACCAAGGTGCAATTTTTGTTGTATTAATGCCATCTTTACTGATAAAGTCTGATTAAGATCATTACTTTTCCACATATTTTCATCCATTTTATAAAAAGCATCCCAAGGTTTTAGAGCCATTGGAGAAATGTTAGTAGGTAATGTGCTTGAGCTACCTATTCCCTGAATATGGAATACAAAGGAGAAACATGTTTATGTTTAATGAAAAAATGGTTACCAATGAGAAACATCTTTTTAATTTTTTAAGATACATAAAATTAACTTTTATAGTGCAGCTGCAAAATTATTTCTTTTATATTCTAAGTGTAAGCATTTAATTAGTGACAAGTGTTGGGCTTCAATAGTTATTAAAATCCAGAGTATGCTTGGTGACAATCACTGATCAAGTTGGCTTATATATACTGATAAGTAATGTCAGTGTGCTCCTTTCATCTTTTCACGAATTCTTATCAATCAGCATAGTATATTTTATAATGAAATTATCATGTTTATTGTACAAATCTAACTTGACAAAATGTTGAGTATAATGTATAACCTAAATTAAGAGAAGTATCTTAATAGTACTTATTCTGAATTTTCAAACCTTAATAAATTTAGTTTGTAGTGAAATTTATGAAATAAGAAATTCATATATATACTTTTCAGGTAGATTTGCCATTTGATATCCAAGAACGTATTATTTGAATTGCATTATGCTTAATGTTAGAATTTAAAATTTTTATTAAGAAATTTTTCTTGGGGCGCCTGGGTGGCGCAGTCGGTTAAGCGTCCGACTTCAGCCAGGTCACGATCTCGCGGTCCGTGAGTTCGAGCCCCGCGTCAGGCTCTGGGCTGATGGCTCAGAGCCTGGAGCCTGTTTCTGATTCTGTGTCTCCCTCTCTCTCTGCCCCTCCCCCGTTCATGCTCTGTCTTTCTCTGTCCCAAAAATAAATAAACGTTGAAAAAAAAAAATTTTAAAAGAAATTTTTCTTAAGTTTCCAAGATAACAAATTTAAATAAAATTAAATTAAAATGTTAGTACAAAACACCTATATGTTTAGCTATGAATTTTGAATTTAAAATATTAGAAATATAAATATTTTAACATCTTAATTTACTTATTGGTGTATGTAAGTTATGTATAATTCAGAGAATTTACCTACTTAACTTCATAAAAATAATTTGTCTACATGTTTCTATTGTAACATATTTCAAGTTATTATTAAAAGTTGACATATTTACATGTTGCCATTTTTGTTGGAAGCATATCTGATGATGTTTATAAAAATTAAAGTTAAAAAAATTTATAGTGGTGGGAAATGTAAAGTCAGTATGAAAATGATTTTGACACAAAACTCAGATATAGGCTAGTCAAGAAACAATGGGTCAAAGATATTTATTGAAGGCTTGCGATTAATGAGGTATGCTAATTTCTGAAAATGTAAACTATGATGTAGGTCCTTTAAGGGCATTGCACTTTGGTTGATGTGATCAACAGCCCAGGGATGACAGTGCATAATGCAGTCATAATGCAGGAAGGCAGTATCTATTGAGGTGCCACACTCAAAGCAAAGGAAGAAGAGAGTGTCATCAGGAGAAAGAATCATTTCCTTCATGAGGAGTTCCAAAAGCATGATGGTACAAAATAAATTCATTTAAAAAATATCTCCCATCAAATCTAACAGCCACATTTTAAATGTGGATTATTTCTAATACATTCACAATTTTTTTCCTGATTTGTTCCCAGAATGCTCAGGCCCATTGGGAATCGAAGGTGGAATCATATCAAATCAGCAAATCACAGCTTCCTCTACCCACCGAGCTCTTTTTGGACTCCAGAAATGGTATCCCTACTATGCACGTCTCAATAAGAAGGGGCTTATAAATGCATGGACAGCTGCAGAAAATGACAGATGGCCATGGATTCAGGTAACACATGGGATGGGACAAGGTGACTGCCAAGGAATGACCAGAGTCATTTCAGAAAGAATACAAATCACAGCCCAAAGTGTGACTTTTCTTCATGGTGACAGAGGACAGGATGATTCAGCTGAGTCCAAATTGGCTATGAAATCTGAAACTGTGGGATATATGTACGTTGACTGTAAAGTGTGTTGAGGGTTAAAAATGTTGAAATTCTTGGGGTATAAATATTGCTATTTCTTTTTTTTTTTATGTGAGAGATAGCACATGCAGTGCCTGAAAGCCAGGGAGGGGCAGAGTGAGAGGGAGGGAGAGAATCTTAAGCCAGTTCCAGGCTCAGAGCGAAAGGAACTCTATTTCACCACTGTGAGATTATGACATGAGCCGAAATCAAGAGCTTAAACAGCTGAGCCACCCAGGCTCCCCTAGAAGGTTTCCACATAGGCCACCTGTTAACATTTGGCCACAACTTTTGACACTTCAAGAAAATAAAAAATGCATGTTTTCTTTCTCCGTCTTAGAAGTGGTTTCACATGCACAGAACATATAATGTACAGAATAGATAACGCGGATACCAAAAATGTCTTCAGCACCCTCTTTCAATAGCTGAGGGTTTTTCAACTCATACTCTTTTATTTATTATCATCAGCCAGCTACTTTTTTAAACAGAAAAAAACATGATATACCAAGATCGTAAGTGATTTCCCTAAAATGGGATGGATGGTAATAATACCAGCACATTGTATTTTATCCAGTTAAATGTTTTCTGAGGACTTACCTTTAGTAAGTAATATGTAAGTAAACTACACATTAGGAAGACAGAAAAGATGATTAAAGCATGATATCTGTGTAAGATTATACCCCTGTTGGGGAGAGCACATTAATAACATGTAACAAGTCATTGAGTGTGTGCTGAAGAGAAGGAATACCCAGTATACGGTGGGTTTAGTGGAAGAAATAATTATCAGGAGAAAGCCTATGGGAGAATAGCTTTTTAGATGGGCCTTGGAAAATGCCTTTCACTGGAGACTAAAAGCCTACAGAGCAGCGTGATCAAAGATGCTAGGTGAGAATCTGGGGAACATCATATAGAAAATCATGACTTGTGTATAAGTTGCTAGAGGAACATGTTCAAACTTAGCGAGTGAGGTAAGTGTGCCTTAGGATTCACACATACTAAAAAGTTTGGGGCTTTTTCCATGGAGCTATTACAGAATTTTGATTTAAGTAGTTGAGCGATTTTGTTTACTATGCATTTGGAGTCAGAGGTAATTTTTAACATGGAAATCCATGATTTGACATTATTAGGTGCAATGTACAGGCATTGATTTACAGGAATTTAGTAGAATGAAAAGTTGATCTATGGCCAGGTAACATGATTTCCATACCTTAGGAACTGGGCCAGAATCCCCTTCAGATTTTTCCTTTGTTCAGGTTTCTTGTGAATTTTTACATATCCTATATATATTTCTTTAATTATATGGCTCCATGTGTTTACCAGAATTGTTTTGTTTGATGAATTTATTTTTGCGTGCATTTGCAGAAATTGCTTCTTAGATTACACATGATTTTTCTAATCTGTAGCTACATGTGCAAAGAGAATTCCAGATAGTGGAAATGGCACATTTATACACTTTTGACCCCAAGCTAATGAATATACAATTAAGGTTTAAAATAGATGAGAACAAAAATGCCTATATTTTATTGTTAAAAATCATTGCAGAGACCATTTTTTTAAAAATCAGCTTAGTTGCCTGTTATGAAATGCATTTGTGGGATTGTAGTCATGATAAAGCTTTAGAAATTAAAATTAATAGCAAAAATTGCACAACACTGTGAGACAATGTCACTAGATTGCATCTGGGTTTGGCAAATTATGTTTGAGAGCTTCAGTCATTGCCATGTTTTAATAAACCACAATAACATCCTTTTGCGGTATTTTTACTGAGAAACACCTTATTAATGTTTCAGTTCTGACTTTTCACTTTATTTTGTCCCACTTTATTGCCTACCTTAACCTTACACATCATTCTGCCTTCCAAAGTACAAATCAACTTTAAGTTCTCTTTATCCCACTAGTTATAAGTGGAAATAACCTCAATGGAATAGGACAGTGGTTGACTTTTAGAGAAATTTAGATTAAACATAACTTTATCAACTTAACTAAAATAATTAAATACCTCTTTTAAGGGGATAAAATTATTATTATTATTATTAGTTTGCTTTTAGTCTGAAGTTGATAATGAACTCTCACAGAAAAACAATACAGGCACATAAAAAGTCTTTTAAAAGTATTTTTTAAGTTAAATTTTAGTTAACATATACTGTAGTATTGTTTCAAGAGTAGGATTTAGTGATTCCTAACTTACGTATAACACCCAGTGCTCATCCCAACAAGTGCCCTCCTTAACACCCATCACGCATTTAGCCCATCGTCCACCTAGCACCCCTCCAGCAACCCTCAGTTTGTTCTCTGTATTTAAGAGTTTCTTAAGGTTTGCCTCCCTCTCTGCTTTTCTTATTGTTCCATCCCTTCCCCTAGGGTCATCTGTTGTTTCTTAAATTCCACATATGAGTAAAATCATATGATATTTGTCTTTCTCTGACTGACTTATTTCACTTAACATTACACTCTAGTTCCATCCACGTTGTTGCAAATGGCAAGATTTCATTGTTTATGATCACTAAGTAATATTCCATTGTGTATATATATGCCATCTCTTCTTTATCCATTAATCAGCTGATGGACATTTGGGCTCTTTCCATAATTTGGCTATTGTTGATGGTGCTGCTATAAACATGGGGTTCATGTGCCCATTTGGTAAAGACCTAGTAGTGCAATTGCTGTATCATCAGTAATTCTAGTTTTAATTTTTTGAGGAACCTCCATACTGTTTTCCAGAGTGGCTGCACCAGTCTGCATTCCCACCAACAATGCAAAAGTGTTCCCCTTTCTCTGCATGCTCTCCAATATCTTTAGCCATTCTGACAGGTGTGAAGTGTTATCTCATTGTGGGTTTGATTTCTGTTTCCCTGATGATGAGTGATGTTGAGCATTTTTTCATGTGATGTTAGCCATCTGAATGTCTTCTTTGGAAAAGTGTTTGTTCATGTCTTTTGTCCATTTCTTTACTGGATTCTTTGTGTGTTGGGTGTTGAATTGGGTAAGTTCTTTATAAATTTTGGATACTAACCCTTTATCCGATATGTCCTTCACAAATATCTTCTCCCATTCCATCGGTTGCTTTATAGTTTTGTTTGTTGATTGTTTCCTTCGCTGTGCAGAAGCCTTTTATCTTGATTAAAGATAGATTGATTTTTTTTTTGCTTTTGATTCCCTTGCCTCGAGAGACATGTCTAGTAAGAAGTTACTACAACCAAGTTCAAAGAGGTTACTGCCTGTGTTCTCTTCTAGGATTTTGATGGTTTCCTGTCTTACACTTAGATCTTTATTCATTTTGAATTTATTTTTGTGTATTGTGTAAGAAAGTGACCAAGTTTCATTCTTCTGCATGTCGCTGACCAATTTTCCCAGCACCATTTGTTGAATAGACTGTTTTTTCCATTGGATAGTCTTTCCTGCTTTGTTGAAGATTAGTTGGCCATACATTTGTGGGTCCATTTCTGGGTGCTTTATTCTGTCCCATTAATATATGTGTCTGTTTTTGTGCCTGTACCATATTGTCTTGATGATTATAGCTTTGTATAATACAGCTTGAAGTCTGGAATTGTGATGCCTCCGGCTACAGTTTTCTTTTTCAACATAACTTTGGCTATTCAGGGTCTTTTCTGGTTGCATACACATTGTAGAATTGTTTGTTCTAGCTCTGTGAAGAAATCTAGTGTTATTTTGATAGGGATTGCATTGAATGTGTAGATTGCTTCAGGTAGTATAGACATTTTAACCACATATGTTCTTCCAATTCATGAACATGGAATGTTTTTCATTTCTTTGTGTCCTCTTCAATTTCTTTCATAAGTTTTCTATAGTTTTAAGCATACAGGTAATTTACATCTTTGGTTAGGTTTATTCCTAGATAATTTTTGTTTTTTGGTGCAATTGCAAATAGGATCAATTCTTCAATTTCTATTTCTGCTGCTCCACTGCTGATGTATAGAAATGCAACCAATTTCTGTACATTGATTTTATATCCTGTGACTTTGCTAAATTCATTTATCAATTCTAGCAGTTTTTTGATGGAGTTTTTTGAGTTTTCCACGTAGAGTATTGTGTCATCTGTGAAGAGAGAAAGTTTGACTTCCTCCTTGCCAGTTTGTATGCCTTATAATTTTTTGTTGTCTGGTTGCTGAGGCTGGGACTTAGAGTACTATGTTGAACAACAGTGGTGAGAGTGGACATTCCTGACATTTGGGAGAAAGCTCTCAGTTTTTCCCCATTGAGGATGATATTAGCTATGGGTCTTTTGTAGATGGCCTTATGATCTTGAGGTATGTTCCTCATATCCCTACTTTCTTGATAATTTTTGTTAAGAATGGATGCTGTGTTTTGCCAGATGCTTTGCATCTGTTGAGAGGATCATATGGTTTTCATCCTTTCTTTTATTAATGTGGTATACCACACTAATTGATTTATGAATATTGAACCAGCTCTGCAGCCCAAGAATATCCCCACTTGTTCATGATGCATGATTCTTTTAATGTGTTGTTGAATTTGATTTGCTAGTATCTTGTTGAGAATTTTTGCATCTCAGTTCATCATGGGTATTGGCCTGTAATTCTCCTTTTTAGTGGGGTCTTTTATGTTTTTTTAATCAAGGTAATGCTGTCTTTAGAATGATTTTGGAACCTTTCCTTTCATTTCCATTTTGTGGAACAGTTTGAGAAGAATAGGTATTAATACTTCTTTAAATGTCTGGTAGAATTCCCCTGGGAAGCCATCTGGCTTAGGACTTTTGCGAGATCTTTGATTACTTCCAATTTCTTTTCTAGTTATGGATTTGTTCATATTTTCTATTTCTTCCTTTCTCATAAACCTTGGTGGTTTA